TACAAATTTAATTTAGCTCTTCTAATTTGACTGTAATTACAAAAACCGCGCGGACAGATTCCGTTGACTGGGTAAATATTAAACTTTACATATTTTAATTTGCTTTTAAAATGCCAATTAGTTATAATCAACGATCGCCATGGTGTAATGAAATTGTAAATAGTCAATACTGTATATTCCCCTATAATAGAATAGAAGCTATAGTTTGGGTAACTACCCGGTACTACCCGTAGTAAATAATGGGATGAGTCCACACACGAATGGAATGCAATGCATATTAATAATGACTCAATAGTGACACTAATTTTGTGTTTTTCATTACAACTTCAAACTTGACCAATAGAAGGCGAGTTTGTGGAGTGGGCTTGATTAAGGCTAGTATGTTATAAATATAGCGATTTATAGGCAGATTCATATTTAATAGCATTAGTCATGCTATAACTAAAGTATAACCTCACTATACAATAGTGGCACTAAAGTGGCCCTATCGGGTTTTGATGGTTATAATGTAGTTAAGTTGATGCAATAAAAAAAGTTAATTTGTAAAAAAAATCTAGACAACATTATTTATTTAATAATGTATATAAACTTTATCTATAATAATGTATAAATAATAATAATAACCATAGTTATCTTAAATCACATGCCAATTGCGTAAATAATTGTTATGTAGTAACGCATTAAGTGTTTTTATAAATGATTATAATGTTTATTCATTTTTACAAAATATTGGTGAAATCACTTAATTTTAATAATATTTTATTAATTTAATAATTTTCCAAACAATTACTTTCAATACAAAATATAATGAGTGACTATTATAACGATGACAAGTGTCAGGTTTGCGGCGATAAAGTGCTGGGTATTAGATATTTGTAATTTATAATTGTATCATTTATTAATAATTTATTAATTACAATAAATATTTTATATACATTGTATTTCAAATACTAACTCAACAAGGTTTTAATTACAACGCTATGACCTGTGGCTCTTGTAAACAGTTTTACCGACGAAATCACAATAAACTAGATGTAAGTAATAATAATTAATTTAATACATGTATATTATAACTATAATTACTTTAATTAAAAATTATTTACTATTTTAAACAGCAATTAAAATGTCAATTAATTGGGCAATGTGAAATAAATATATACACTAGAAATGATTGCAAACGGTGCCGGCTTTGTAAATGTCTGTCCCTGGGAATGAAAATGGTAACATTTCTATTATAATTACTATGATACACATTTTATTATAACATATGAAATTAATTTTAAAATGCAGAGTATTTTCAACCCATTTGCCACTGAAAGTGAAATGACAGCAAATAATTTCAAATACAATATCACACAAAACAATACCATAGACTCAACGGTAACTAACAATAACGGCAAACACCAGGACTACACCAACAGTGATATAAGTTCACTGCCAATGGCAACACTGACATCGGTAAACGTCACTATCAGCGATATTATACCATACGTTGGCTGTGTAACAATTGACCGGCCCCTTTCCGACTACCTTAATCAATTCACCGAGATGGAGGGCATTAAACTGACCGAGCTGTTCGCATCAATGGCCGTATACAGGGAGCCAATAATACCGGCCATCGCCATATCCCTGCGCCCTCTGGTGGGCACCGATATGTTTGATGTGGTGTTTGGCCGACTCGGACTACAGTTGATAAGTATGATTGAGATGTGCAAACAATTGACCGGGTTCAAAAGCATATGCGATGATGATCGTATGTCACTTATTAAACATGGTTGCCTAGAAATGAGCTACTTGGGCTCAGTTGACAACTTTGACCCTATCAATAATCGGTGGATGTATAAAATGGTATTTTACTGTATATTATTTATCCAGATTAGTTTGTAACAAAGTGTTTTTAAATAATAAATTGTACGTGCATAAATTATTAGTGTTTACTCAAAATTTTCTATTTTTAATTAACTTGTTAAGTCTAACTAACTAACTTAGTCTAGCTAACTAACTTACTAAAAAGCTTATTTTAGTGATATTATTATTAAGTTTTTAACTTGATTATTTTTTAAAAAGGATAATACCAACGCACTTATGGTGTATTTAAGTGAGCATGGTCCAAATATAGCCGATATGTTTAAAAAGTTTTTGCATGGTATTTGTTATGAATGGGACTCGGACGGTACGCTTATGGTCCTGGTCAGTTATATCTACATATTTAATTATTTTAATATTATTTAATAATTTTTTACATTTGTCATTACAGTTAACAGCAATAATACTGTTTAATCCAAATCGCCCATCGCTTATACATAGAGAAGTGGTAAAGTATGTATTATTATTGCAATTGTCACCTTGTTACTTTTATAAAACTAATAAAATTGTGGTATTTTATTGATAGATTTCAACAATACGTTTACAAATATTTATTAAAACGGTATTTACTATTGAAATATCGGACGGAATTTGTGTCGCAAACAAAATACACTAAACTTATGGACATTTTAACGGATTTACAACATTTGGGCGAAAGTCAGAGACAATTGGTTTTAAAGTCTGGATTTCATAAGAATAATCGTAATATGTTTAGTGAGATTTTTAGCTAGTGTTTTGATAGCTATTAATTGTTGAATTTATTTTAACTACATGTTTATTGTAAAATGTATACTGATATTAAATAATTAAACCATTATTTATAATTAATTTAATAAATTATGATTATTAATTGTATTGCTTGATCAAACAAATAAAAACTCAATTATTCTACCAAGGGCATTTATGTTTTTAAATCTCATTTTAGACATAATTAATTTTACCTTGGATCAGGTATATTATACCTATTTATAATATGTTAGTCAGTAAAATTTTAATAGAATATTTATTTGTAATTAATTTTTTTAAATCATTAATTAAAATCTAAATCTTAATTAAAAATTTAATTAAATTTATGGAAAATACTATATAGACTTAAAACTGTATAAACTTAAGTTTAGTGACTTAACTATAAGTTCACTAACATTTAACATAAGTAAAAATAATGTTTAATGAAGTACAAAAATACGTAAATGCTTTAAGTATTGTTATTAAATTTACATTTGTACACTATTGGGTACAGTAGGATATTGCATTCAGGTAATGAAATACCATATCAATAATTAAATATTAATTTTATTCTACAGGTGAGTGAATAGGAAAATATATTATTTAATGTCTACACACATGTTCTAATAGGTGTCTGTACTCTCACATGTAGTACATTGTATGTAAAGTATAGTCAGGGTTTTATTACTATTTTAATGAAGAGTTTTAGTGTACATGCTTAAACAAGTACAGTATAATGCTAGAATAAATACACAATCATGTCGCCAGAATATCTCAAGGATACATTGAATACTGTTCAAACATTAAACAACCTTCAATATACTTCTACACAATATTCTACGCATATTCACTAACAATAATACAGTATTAAATTAATACTATTAATACGTGAAAAAATACATGATGGTTGTCTTAGCGATGATAAGCATGTTTATAAAGTATTATTCAACACAATATTTAATATTATTTTTACCAGAAAATATTAATCATCATAAAATAAGTGCTATTTTTTTTATTAAACGAGTTAAATGTTGAGGTTATTAAAGTTTATTTGAGTTTATTAGCTCATGGTATCAATTGATGTCTGGATGTCGTTATGTTTCACACGATATCTATATAAATAGGTTATTATAACTTATAAATTATAAGTAAAAGTGAGTTCTGGTTTTAATAGTGAATTCGTTGAACTTGGTTGTATTTAATTTAATTTTTAACTAAATAATTAAATGAGAATGTGCGAATTAACGTATGCGAAAAGTGACCTGCTTAAATGTGTGGTGTGCGGCGACAAGGCGTTTGGTAATTTAATTAATTATTATACACTTATTTATTTTATTTAAGTTATTTTTTAATTTTAATATTTATGTATAATATTTATACTTTATAAAATAATTATTTATTAAATGACTTTGATAGTTATTAACAAATATTTTAATCTAGGTTATAATTTTGATGCTATTAGCTGTCCCTCATGTAAAGTGTTTTTTCGTAGGAATGCATTATCTAATAAGGTAAATGACTACACAAGCTATTAATTAATAGTATATGTAATTAATAATTACCATGTTTATTTTCAACAGCAATTTAAATGCTATTTCGGCAATAAATGCCAAATTGATGTCTACTCGAGAAAGTCGTGCAAAAAGTGTCGGTTAGAGAAATGTGTGGCCAAAGGGATGCGGAAAGTAATTAGTAAACACTTAATTAATTAAATTGATCATGCTAAGTCTCTCTCTCTCTCTCTCGTCACCGGATAGATGTGCCTAACATTCATCT